AGATCAGTGTGACTTGTGAGTGCTGTAGATCAGTGTGACTTGTGAGTGCTGTAGATCAGTGTGACTTGTGAGTTCTTTAGATCAGTGTGACTTGTGAGTGATCTTGATCAGTGTGACTTGTGAGTGCTGTAGATCAGTGTGACTTATGAGTTCTTTAGATCAGTGTGACTTGTGAGTGCTCTAGATCAGGGTGACTTGTGAGTACTCTAGATCAGTGTGACTTGTGAGTGCTGTAGATCAGTGTGACTTGTGAGTGCTCTAGATCAGTGTGACTTGTGAGTGCTGTAGATCAGTGTGACTTGTGAGTTCTTTAGATCAGTGTGACTTGTGAGTTCTTTACATCAGTGTGACTTGTGAGTGCTCTAGATCAGTGTGACTTGCGAGTGCACTAGATCAGTGTGACTTATGAGTTCTTTACATCAGTGTGATTTGTGAGTGCTCTAGATTAGTGTGACTTGTGAGTGCTGTAGATCAGTGTGACTTGCGAGTGCTGTAGACCAGTGTGACTTGTGAGTGCTCTAGATCAGTATGACTTGTGAGTGCTGTAGACCAGTGTGACTTGTGAGTGGGACTTGTGAGTGCTGTAGATCAGTGTGACTTGTGAGTGCTGTAGATCAGTGTGACTTGTGAGTGCTCTAGATCAGTGTGACTTGTAAGTTCTTTAGATCAGTGTGACTTTTCAGTTCTTTACATCAGTGTGACTTGTGAGTGCTCTAGATCAGTGTGACTTGTCAGTGCCGTAGATCACTGTGACTTGTGAGTGCTGTAGCTGTAGACCAGTGTGACTTGCTCTAGATCAGTGTGACTTGTGAGTGCTGTAGATCAGTGTGACTTGAGAGTGCTCTAGACCAGTGTGACTTGTGAGTGCTGTAGATCAGTGTGACTTGTGAGTGCTTTAGATCAGTGTGACTTGTGAGTGCTGTAGATCAGTGTGACTTGTGAGTAGTCATTGACTTGACTTGTGAGTGCTCTAGATCAGTGTGAGTTATGAGTTCTTTACATCAGTGTGACTTGTGAGTGCTCTAGATCAGTGTGACTTGTGAGTGCTGTAGATCAGTGTGACTTGTGAGTGCTCTAGATCAGTGTGACTTGTGAGTTCTTTAGATCAGTGTGACTTGTGAGTTCTTTAGATCAGTGTGACTTGTGAGTGCTGTAGATCAGTGTGACTTGTGAGTGCTGTAGATCAGTGTGACTTGTGAGTGTGACTTGTGAATTCTCTAGATCAGTGTGACTTGTGAGTGCTCTAGATCAGTGTGACTTGTGAGTGCTCTAGATCAGTGTGACGTGCGAGTGCTCTTGACCAGTGTGACTTGTGAGTGCTGTAGATCAGTGTGACTTGTGAGTTCTTTAGATCAGTGTGACTTGTGAGTGCTCAAGATCAGCGTGACTTGTGAATTCTCTAGATCAGTGTGACTTGTGAGTGCTCTAGATCAGTGTGACTTGTGAGTTCTTTAGATCAGTGTGACTTGTGAGTGCTGTAGATCAGTGTGACTTGTGAGTTCTTTAGATCAGTGTGACTTGTGAGTGCTGTAGATCAGTGTGACTTGTGAGTGCTCTAGATCAGTGTGACGTGCGAGTGCTCTTGACCAGTGTGACTTGTGAGTGCTGTATATCAGTGTGATTTGTGAGTGCTTTTGATCAATGTGACTTGTGAGTGCTGTAGATCAGTGTGACTTGTGAGTGCTCTAGATCAGTGTGACTTGTGAGTGCTGTAGACCAGAGTGACTTGTGAGTGCTGTAGATCAGTGTGACTGATGACTTGTGAGTGTTGTAGATCAGTGTGACTTGTGAGTTCTGTAGATCAGTGTGACTTGTGAGTGCTTTAGATCAGTGTGACTTGTGAGTGCTAGATCAGTGTGACTTGTGAGTGCTTTAGATCAGTGTGACTTGTGAGTGCTGTAGATCAGTGTGACTTGTGAGTGCTCTAGATCAGTGTGACTTGTGAGTGCTGTAGATCAGTGTGACTTGTGAGTGCTGTAGATCAGTGTGACTTGTGAGTGCTGTAGATCAGTGTGACTTGTGAGTGCTCTAGATCAGTGTGACTTGTGAGTGCTCTAGATCAGTGTGACTTATGAGTTCTTTACATCAGTGTGACTTGTGAGTGCTGTAGACCAGTGTAACTTTTGAGTGCTCTAGATCAGTGTGACTTATGAGTTCTTTACATCAGTGTGACTTGTGAGTGCTCTATTCAGAGTGCTGTAGATCAGTGTGACTTGTGAGTGCTGTAGATCAGTGTGACTTGCGAGTGCTCTAGACCAGTGTGACTTGTGAGTGCTGTAGATCAGTGTGACTTGTGAGTGCTGTAGATCAGTGTGACTTGTGAGTGCTCTAGATCAGTGTGACTTGTGAGTGCTGGAGACCAGAGTGACTTGTGAGTGCTGTAGATCAGTGTGACTTGTGAGTTCTTTAGATCAGTGTGACTTGTGAGTTCTTTAGATCAATTTGACTTGTGATTGCTGTAGATCATTGTGACTTGTGAGTTCTTTAGATCAGTGTGACTTGTGAGTGCTGTAGACCAGTGTGACTTGTGAGTGCTCTAGATCTGTGTGATTTATAAGTTCTTTACATCAGTGTGACTTGTTTGTGCTGAAGATCAGTGTGACTTGCGAGTGCTCTAGATCAGTGTGACTTGCGAGTGCTGTAGACCAGTGTGACTTGTGAGTGTTGTAGATCAGTGTGACTTGTGAGTGTTGAAGATCAGTGTGACTTGTGAGTTCTTTAGATCAGTGTGACTTGTGAGTTCTGTAGTAGATCAGTGTAGATCAACTTGTGAGTGCTGTAGATCAGTGTGACTTGTGAGTGCTGTAGATCAGTGTGACTTGTGAGTGTTGTATCAATGTGACTTGTGAGTGCTGTAGAGTGCTGCTGTAGATCAGTGTGACTTGTGAGTTCTTTAGATCAGTGTGACTTGTGAGTGCTGTAGATCAGTGTGACTTGTGAGTGCTCTAGATCAGTGTGACTTGTGAGTGCTGTAGATCAGTGTGACTTGTGAGTGCTCTAGATCAGTGTGACTTGTGAGTTCTTTAGATCAGTGTGACTTGTGAGTGCTGTAGATCAGTGTGAATTGTGAGTGCTGTAGATCAGTGTGACTTGCGAGTGTTCTAGACCAGTATGACTGGTGATTGCTGTAGATCAGTGTGACTTGTGAGTTTCTTTTAGATCAGTGTGACTTGTGAGTGCTGTAGATCAGTGTGACTTGTGAGTTCTTTACATCAGTGTGACTTGTGAGTGCTGTAGATCAGTGTGGCTTGTGAGTGCTGTAGATCAGTGTGACTTGTGAGTGCTGTAGATCAGTGTGACTTGTGAGTGCTCTAGATCAGTGTGACTTGCGAGTGCTCTAGACCAGTGGGATTTGTGAGTGCTGTAGATCAGTGTGACTTGTGAGTGCTGTAGATCAGTGTGACTTGTGAGTGCTGTAGATCAGTGTGACTTGTGAGTGCTGTAGATCAGTGTGACTTGTGAGTGCTGTAGATCAGTGTGACTTGCGAGTGCTCTAGACCAGTGGGACTTGTGAGTGCTGTAGATCAATGTGACTTGTGAGTGCTGTAGATCAGTGTGACTTGTGAGTGCTCTAGATCAGTGTGACTTGTAAGTTCTTTAGATCAGTGTGACTTGTGAGTGCTGAGTGTGACTTGTAGATCAGTGTGATCAGTGTGACTTGTGAGTGCTTTAGATCAGTGTGACTAGATCAGTGTGACTTGTGAGTTCATTAGATCAGTGTGACTTGTGAGTGCTCTAGATCAGTGTGACTTATGAGTTCTTTACATCAGTGTGACTTGTGAGTGCTGAAGATCAGTGTGGCTTGTTAGTGCTGAAGATCAGTGTGACTTGTGAGTGATCTTGATCAGTGTGACTTGTGAGTTTTTTTTTAGATCAGTGTGACTTGTGAATGCTCTAGATCAGTTTGACTTGTGAGTGCTCTAGATCAGTGTGACTTGTGAGTGCTCTAGATCAGTGTGACTTGTGAGTTCTTTAGATCAGTGTGACTTGTGAGTGCTGTAGATCAGCGTGACTTGTGAGTGCTCTAGATCAGTGTGACTGATGAGTTCTTAACAGCAGTGTGACTTGTGAGTGTTGAAGATCAGTGTGGCTTGTAAGTGCTGAAGATCAGTGTGACTTGCGAGTGTTGTAGATCAGTGTGACTTGCGAGTTCTCTAGATCAGTGTGACTTGTGAGTGCTGTAGATCAGTGTGACTTGTGAGTGCTGTAGATCAGTGTGACTTGTGAGTGCTCTAGATCAGTGTGACTTATGAGTTCTTTAGATCAGTGTGACTTGTGAGTGCTCTAGATCAGGGTGACTTGTGAGTACTCTAGATCAGTGTGACTTGTGAATTATTTTGATCAGTGTGACTTGTGAGTTCTTTAGATCAGTGTGACTTGTGAGTTCTTTAGATCAGTGTGACTTGTGAGTGCTCTAGATCAGTGTGACTTGTGAGTGTTGTAGATCAGTGTGACTTGTGAGTTCTTTAGATCAGTGTGACTTGTGAGTTCTTTAGATCAGTGTGACTTGTGAGTTCTTTAGATCAGTGTGACTTGTGAGTGCTGTAGATCAGTGTGACTTGTGAGTTCTTTAGATCAGTGTGACTTGTGAGTGCTGACTTGTGAGTGCTCTAGATCAGTGTGACTTGTGAGTTCTTTAGATCAGTGTGACTTGTGAGTGCTGTAGATCAGTGTGACTTGTGAGTTCTTTACATCAGTGTGACTTGTGAGTGCTGTAGACTAGTGTGACTTGTGAGTGCTCTAGATCAGTGTGACTTGTGAGTGCTCTAGATCAGTGTGACTTATGAGTTCTTTACATCAGTGTGACTTGTGAGTGCTGAAGATCAGTGTGGCTTGTTAGTGCTGAAGATCAGTGTGACTTGCGAGTGCTCTAGATCAGTGTGACTTGTGAGTGCTCTAGATCAGTGTGACTTGTCAATGTCGAAATCGGTGTTACGCTCATAATATTGCTACAAATGACCATGGTATGTAAAAGATACAATAAAGGTGTTTTATTCCAGGTTCACAATCCAAACAGGCACTCAGAGACGTATCAGAGATAGCCAATATGGCGCTGGACATTCGAGCATCTTGCAGTGATCTTGAGGTTGACATACTTCCAGACTCAAAACTGCATATGCGCATCAGTATACATACGTGTATGTTAAGATGTTGTTTAAATACGAATCATGATGTGATATAGGACAGCGATGGTTTAATGTTAATGATCTGTTGTGTTCATTTGAAAGTTAAGAATGCTTGATTGTCGTGTTTCTGAAAAGTTAGCTTTTTATTCATGAAATTTAGAGATCAAGATAATATGAAATATAAAGTTACAAATGTATCTTGATTTAAAGGTTGCCTTCTTATTTGTTTAAGATCAAAGAATATTTTTTTCTGTGATATACAATTTCTTTACCTTAACGTACATTACGGTTAACATAATTGTCATAATTGTTAATTCTAGCTGACTGTGTATACAAATTGTCGTCACATCCGGAACCTCGTTTTCATATTTATGGGGATTTGATAGATATCGTTACACGACTGAAAAATGATTGCAATCGTAAGTATATTATACAAATACATATATATATATATCTCAGAGAGAGAGATTGAAGGGTAGTTATACTGTCATTCAATACTTCATAAATGCTTACACAGCTCGAGAAGGGGAATTGTTTTCATTTAAACAACATATACTGTTCCATGGTGTATGCTTTCAAGTCTTCAATCTCCATTTTCACTGAGAGTCCAATACCCCGTATGTTTGAACATCTCACGAGGAGGGATATGTACAACAATGGCTGCACTTCACGTCGTTTACAGCAGGTGTCGTCGATCATGTGCAAGACATGCCAATGCATTGCCAGCAAATTATAAAACCCCTGTCTCCTCTTGGTTTCATAAATTCAGACTACTAAATAAGTAATACTGATCTATTGGGAAATTCTGTTATTTTGTCCTGAAAGATCTTCACATCAGACAAGATACTATAACCGGATATTAAATATTTCCCATCAGTAGTTGTCGGTTATATGTATGATTTTTTCTGGTATGTTGCAGTTAAAGTCATTATCTAACTCTAATTTCAATTTTTCAGTGAAAGTTGCTTTTCATCTCAAGTTTTTTTTATAATACTTGAAATGATCGCCTCTTGTTTATGAAATGTATAGATGATTTTTTTTCCCGCATTCTTTGAAATATTCGGTCATATTCTCTTTCTGTTCCAGCTTAGATTGGTAGCTTGATTAAAACGGTAATTTATCGTCTATTCTTTCTATGAAGATATTTCATGGGTTTTTTGTTTAGGATTCCAATATAAACGCAGCGGGTCAATAGTAGTATCATTTAATATTATTCCTGAATTCATAATGCAAATACTTTGAATTTTGAGAGGCAGAAACGTAAGATATTTCATATACAGACTTAAAATATCATCTTCATATGAAACAAACAATTGACACGGACCGGTTTTGCATATGATATCCATTTTGAAATTAATTATAATGATAATCTTTTGTTTTGGCCCCCAGCAAACAGCATCCACATCAGTGAAAAGGTTGGTAACATGTTGAGCATGGAGCATCAGTACTTGATCGAACGAAGGGGCTCTATGATACTTACGGTAAGGTATCTTATGTATTGTTCTAATCGTATGGAATTACTACTATTCTATACAGAATTTCAACAAGCTTTTTCTAAGTATGCTTGCATACTTACATTAGTTGAAAAACCATACTAAAGTCAAGAAGTTTTTGTTTGTTTTCTGTCTTATTGAAAAAAAAATCTAAAAGAAACTACACGTTCTTGGAAATCTGTTATAGTTAGGAAAATATGCCAGGTTAGGCCCTGATAGAAATTTAACATTCCTTTTTAAACATCTGAACTTAACATCAAGTACGGTGATGTTTTATTGCTAGTTCGGTTACAATTTATCCATAGTTACATATTAGCATTATCACTTTGGCATCAAATAAATCAAAACTCCAATCAAACATAAAGTACTGAAAGTGTAACGGCAGTGATCTTGCAGACAATAAAACACGTTTATATATGGTAAATGATTATACTGACAACACGTATATATATGGTAAATGATTACACTGACAACACGTATATATATGATAAATGATTACACTGACAACACGTATATATATGGTAAATGATTACATTGACAACACTTATATATATGGTAAATGATTACACTGACAACATTTAAATATATGGTAAATGATTACACTGACAACACGTATATATATGGTAAATGATTACACTGACAACACGTATATATATGGTAAATGATTACACTGACAACACGTATATATATGATAAATGATTACACTGACAACACGTATATATATGGTAAATGATTACACTGACAACACTTATATATATGGTAAATGATTACACTGACAACACGTATATATCTGGTAAATGATTACACTGACAACACTTATATATATGGTAAATGATTACACTGACAACATTTAAATATATGGTAAATGATTACACTGACAACAGGTATATATATGGTAAATGATTACACTGACAACACTTATATATATGGTAAATGATTACACTGACAACATTTAAATATATGGTAAATGATTACACTGACAACACATTTATATGGTAAATGATTACACTGACAACAGGTATATATATGGTAAATTATTACACCGACAAAACGTCTGTAGCTAAACCACACACAAATTACACTGGTAAATGATTACACTGACAACACGTATGTATATGGTAAATGACAACACGTATGTATATGGTAAATGATTACACTGACAAAACGTATATATATGGTAAATGATTACACTGACAACACGTATATATATGGTAAATGATTACACTGACAACACTTAAATATATGGTAAATGATTACACTGACAACACGTATATATATGGTAAATGATTACACTGACAACACGTATATATATGGTAAATGATTACACTGACAACACGTATGTATATGGTAAATGATTACACTGACAACACGTATATATATGGTAAATGATTACACTGACAACACGTATATATATGGTAAATGATTACACTGACAACACGTATATATATGGTAAATGATTACACTGACAACACTTAAATAAATGGTAAATGATTACACTGACAACACGTATATATATGGTAAATGGTTACACTGACAACACTTATATATATGGTAAATGATTACACTGACAACACGTATATATATGGTAAATAATTACACTGATATATCATTGTAACTATAGTAGCTACGTTTCTCAAATGTATTTGTTACCAAACTGACTATAACAACGGTTTTCTTGCAGAATGGCATGCAATTGGCTACCCAGTGGCTACTTGGTAGGCGCGTGTCAGTGTGCAATCCAAGCAACGATGGCATGTCGTTAGTAAGCAGATTGCTCCCAATTCAGCTCGCGGAGAATCCTATCTACAGATTCGACAAAGAGAAGGTCAAATACGTCTCTCCACACTGGATGACAGCTTCTGGTCAATTTCGGGGGACAACGTCATCGATGAGTCAAACACCAAGTGAATCCTCGTATTCCGAATCTGGCGAGAGTTCCCTAAATCACCCAGATACAAACATCGTCAACAACTAACGTCTTATGTAAATTTTACTTTTATCTGTTGTGAACATATATTGACTAATTGTGATGCAGATTTGGCTGAAATTGGGACACACTACCCACACATAAACAATTATCCTGCTTTTGTTTGTACGTACCAAAGTATGTGTATGCGTGATTGTGTGTGGTTTAGCTACAGAAAACGGTGATCCCTTTTTCTCTACTTTCGAACAAAATCTGAAAGATTTATCCCTCGGCGGAGTAAAATGATTTGGGCGACAGAATAGAATATTGAACTTGAAATTTTCTGTCCTTAACATCACTGACGAGTCCCAGAAGGACGAAACAATTGTAAGATGTAGCATCACTAACGAGTCCCAGACGAAACTGCTGTCTGAGGAAGTTATTGATTATTGACCTCTACTGTATTTAACTCTAATTTTCTAAATTTGGCATACCTATGGAACTAGCGCTGCCCTTCTGTTGCCTGACTTGTTTTGTTTCCACACGAGACTGAAATTGTTGCTTATCACAACATATCACAAAGACCTTGCTTAGTCGTTTAATTTCACTTTCAGATATATTGATAGCGTCTTGTCTTTAAATAACAAGATTTTTTGAAAACATGTCCATCGTAATTGTCCAACATATCAGAAATCAAAGGCACGACAAACTCTTCTACATTAGCTGCTTATCTAGATCTATTCCAATAAGAAACCAACATGGACAGCGTTCCATCAAACTGCAAGATAAACGTGATAATATCTATTTCCATATTGTGAATTTTCCATTTCTGGTCATCGATAATCCTACATCTCCATCCTATGGTATTTACATGTCACAGTTGATTCGATATTCAAGGGCCCGTTCCCATTATCACGCGATTTTCGTGCAAGAAGTCGTCAACTGACGGACAAAATCGTAACACAGGGTTTCAAAAGATGTAGGTTGTTGAAAATAATGTGTAAGGTTTACGGTCGTCATAGTGATCTCGTTGAAAAATATTTCAATTCTTTGTTCGCTACGAAGCTGAACGTGTTTGGTTCTTGTTCATTTGCATGTTGGTTCCATTGTCGATACCTTGTTCTCATTTGAGAACGTGACATTACTCACTTGGAATGACCAAGGTTTACATTGCGGGTGTCGTCGATGAAGCAAAGCCAGGTTTTATTTTCCTTGTCTCTCTGTAAATCTTTCTTTTGTTTTGCTACAGATTTATCGAGTTTGAGTTTAGATTTTGTTGATATGTTGGTATTCTTGTTATCTTTATGAAAAGTCACAGCGTTTTTGTCATGTATACACGAGCTGCTTTCCACTTAGGTCACCTCTATTAGCTGATTTTGGAAGAAGGACGAGGATAAAAACAACAAAGATCAACGTGTCAACAGAATCATAATCCGAATCAAAATTCAAAATCCTGAAAAAGTAAAAGGAGAATAAGACCAAGTGTCCCGAAAGAGATGACATTGAGAACAAACTACAGGATGTAGCAATGTCGTGTTCTACTTTTAACTACTTTCATTCTCGATCTTACAAATCAGGGTCTTTATTTTTCATAATGGCTGAGTTTCATTAATTGCATTTTAGTTACATCATTTTTTTTTCTTTTAAATTTTTTTCATTATTTGCTTTTTAATAATTGAAAAAAAGTCTGAAATCCAGACAAGTCTATAGATATAGTTACTTTTAATATCGATGTCAGTGTCGTAATAACCTAATTCAAGATGAGAAGCCAAAACTAAAACAAATGAGAAACAAAGGTTGTTTTATTTTACTTTTTTAAAGTCAAGATATTCGTCCTGGTTTACTCCTTAACATCATCATTGGTTACCCTGTAGAAATATAAACTTCTTTAAAGATGGCGTATTTATCACTCGGTATCAGACGTTTGACGTTTACTTATCACTATGAAAAATTACATTCTTCATTAAGTCTCTACCAGGAATCTAATTTTGGTTGAATATGCGATAACCAGGAAAGTATTTATATTTGGTGCAGATATGTAAGCTATAATTCTAGTTGGGAGTATTATAGATAAAGACTTTTACCAAAAGGCATCCAAAATGGTGACGTCACTGTCGATGAAGAGGTGTTATTGGTTACCGCTGCAAAATACAATGGTGCAACCTCGCAAATACACTGGACAACTCAAATGACAGTAACACTTTTATCCTGCAAACTTTGTAGGAAGTCACACTCTCCCTTCGACTGCATGTATATTATAGTGTATGCATATTACTCCTAATATCCTAGACTTGTTGTCGCGATGATTTCATAATTAATATTGATAAAAACATGGCATAGTCTCCACATATTTACCAAACTTTATAACATCAGATTCGTTGGACGTACCATTTCCGAAGCTTATCCAGTGCCCTGCAACGACAGAACTCTCTGATAAACACGTCTGTGTAGGATACTATTGAATTACATTATTACTGCAGTGTATCTTCAGTTCAGTACAAATAATGGCAAATGTTTTCCCTGTTTCTTTGACACATGTTTTAAAGTTATGTAACTAAATTTTGTTTCCACACGAGTAATAGAAACGACAAATGAATATTTTTTTCATGAATTGAACAAAATTTTTGACGAAATATCACATATATGTTAAACTATTTGAATAAAGACTAATATATCGATTATAGCAGTACTTGTAGTTGGTTGTGTTGAAGTGGGGATCTAAACCGGCCATTTACACAAAACTGATTCCCAAACACAAGTCATAGTATTTATAGCCCCCGCTTTCCAAACATATTGTAAGTAAATTTTAACGAAATATCACATATATGTTAAACTATTTGAATGAAGAGTAATATATCGATTATAGCAGTACTTGTAGTTGGTTGTGTTGAAGTGGGAGTCATACTGAAAGTCGGAGTTGTTGTGGATGGAGTTGTTGTGGCAGTTGTCGTGGTAGTTGTCTCAGTGGTGGACGGAACTGTGGTAGTCGATGAAGTAGTTATTGATTTCTTAGTGGTTGTAGTACTTGAAGTGGTGGTTGGCGATAGAGTGGTTGTCTGAGCAGTTGTTTTAGTGGTTGTCGGAGTTGAAGCTGCAGTGCCAAATAGAATGCATTCACAATGTTCTATTTAATCAGAAGAAAAAAGACGTGTCATATCTAATCTCTTTGGCAACAACTTTGTTTTACACCCTTTTAAAATTTTGATGTCGTTAAGCCATACGTTATCTTTTTGCCATGCTATGCCAAATCTGCAATGAAATAGCTTACATACAATGTACTAAAGTGTTTAACGTTATATTCTCATAGCCATTACCATGAGTTAAACCCCATATGCACACAAAAAACCAACTTGAAATCAATTATAAAAGAAATGAACGAAATGGGAAGGTGGTTAAAATATAAGTAAATGTGCTTATTTCTAGCAATAATAAAGCAATTTTTCAGTCATTGAGTGGCATTACATTGTTGTTGATGATTAAATCAGAATACACGTATTATCTACATTAAACAATACGCAAAAAAAAAAAATGTCTCAATACCTAGATAATTATACATCCCGTTTGTCGTTTCCTTCCTCTCCAGGCTGACATTATCTGATAATTATATCTATATCGAGGACATGACGTTACTGGATACTGATATACGAAAGTTAGCAGCAATATATATATTATATATGAAGGGTTTTGAAGTGTATAACGTCCGATTTCGATTGCATTTCTGTGTGATTAAAGCAATGGGCTGTATATATTGTTTAATGTATAATCAATGTTTTGTGCAGTTACTACTATTAGTTACATTAAAGTTCTATAATATTCATAACATGCATTGCAAGATGACGGAATCTACTGGCCTTCCGGTAACTCATTTGGAAAACCCATTGGACACTTATGTTGGACTATGTGCAAACGTTTTGGTAATTTTGTATGGACATCACCTTTCAGTGGCCAATATTTTACTATGTTGCCTATATATCATAATCATGTTTATCTACACCTGCCCTATTTCCTCTAATACCGAAATATGTGTCAAATACTTACCTAGATTTTTCAATTTATTCATTATGTTTTTATCAATGCTGACCTGAGGGTGAACACGTAACGTGTATGATGTGATCATTAAGGCAGGTTGTATGTCTGTATCGAGGACAGATGGATAAGTCAACTTCCTGTCCACTACATATGATTTGGGCATTCAACACGGGTACTCCAAAGTCCTGGACTTCCCTATGTGTCGCCACGTACCTGTATGAGACAGTGACACAGTTATTTATCATACAGTTGACAGAGTGTTCGTAGGTATTAAAAGGTCTGTAAGTGGAGACACACGGTTACAATGATAAGTCACACAATATCATCAACTTCAGAATTGAAGTCGGTTAACAGTATCATATATTTTAGAAAAATGCTATGCAGTTTTCATTGTCTCCTGGTAAGTTTGTTATCTCTGACCAAGGATTGTAATCTCATGTGACAGGGATGTGAAGCAATCACAGATACACAAACGAACATCGGCAATAAGTATCTATTTGCCATTGTGTTTGTATCGATAACCTAAGGACTTCTGATTAAAGTGAGTTTAGAATGTGGCCTAGCTCTCCAGATCTCTATTTACAGCCTTTGGGCGCATTGCTTTAAGGCGTCTACACTCACTGATATTTCCCACTTTAGTATTGTCATCAATTTGTCACAATTTCACACTCACAGGAACACCACCACCACCACACACACCACATCACCATAGACACCACCACAAGCACCGCACACACACACCACACACACCACCACCACCAACACACATCACCACACACACTACATACACCACACACACGCAGACATACAACCACACACAGACACACCACCACACGCCACACACTACCACACACACACACACCACACACCCTCACACACACACCCTCACACACCACAACACACGCCACACACACACCACCACACACCCCCCCACACACACCACACACAATTTCACACCATACTCACACACACCACCACCACACACACACACCACACACGCTCACATCACACTCACACCACACACACACACTCACACCACACTCACACACACCACCACCACCACACACCACACACACTCACACCACACTCACACACACCACACACACAAACCACACACACACCACCACCACCACAACACACCAAACACACACACCACCACCACACACCACAACACACACACCACCACACACCACACACACACACACAACCACACACCACAACACACACATCACCACACACACACACACACCACCACTACCAACACAACACACCACACACACACAGACACACCACCACACACCATACAAGGTTATTGCTTGTGTCTTACTATTTCCACGATTTTATTTCTAAAAGAAACAAATCGCAGACATAATTATTAACTTTATCCAGTGGAGCAGTCAGTAAATTGTCTATAATTAACCTCGTGATCCAGCAGATCTCATCAACAAAATAAAAGGTTTCTACTTAATAAAACAAACAACTTTACAAACATCGATTATATTGCCAATGTAACCTTCAGTTATAAAAAATATCGACGACAAATTTATAAAAAAAATGTATCGACATTGAAACCATCAGATTTACAAAAAATATCCAATGCATCGACATTGAAACCACCAGATTTCCAAAAACATTCTATACATCGACATTGAAACCACCAGATTTACATAAACATCCGATGTATCCACATTGAAATCATCAAATTTACAAAGACAGAGAATACATCGACATTTAAACCATCAGATTTACAAAGACGTAGAAAATATCGACATTGAAACCATCAGATTTACATAGACTTAGAAAACATCGACATTAAAACTATCAAATTTACAAAAACATCCAATACATCGAAACTGAAACCATCATATTTATAAAAACATCCAATATATCGATATTGAAACCATCATATTTACAAAAAACATCTAAAACATCGACATTGATATCACCAAATTTACAAAAACATTTAATATATCGGGTTTGAAACCATCAGATTTACAAAAAACATCCAAAACATCGAGATTGAAGCCATGAGATTTACAAAAACATCCGATACGTAGACATTGAAACCATGAGATTTACAAAAACATCCAATACATCGACATTGAAACCTTGAAATTTACAAAAACATCCAATACATAGACATTGAAACCATCAGATTTACAAAGACGTAGAAAATATCGACATTACAGCCACCAGATCAACAAAAACATCCAATATATCGACATTGAAACCATCATATTAAAAAAAGGCCCCAATACATCGACATTGAAATCATGAGATTTACAAAAACATCCAATACATCGACATTGAAACCATCAGATTTACAAAAAACATCCAAAACATCGACATTGAAATCATCAGATTTACAAAAACATCCGATACATCGACATTGAAACCATCAGATTTACAAAGACGTAGAAAATATCGACATTAAAACCACCAGATCAACAACAACGTCCAATATATCGACATTGAAACCATCATATTTACAACAAAAGACACAATACATCGACATTGAAACCATGATATTTACAAAAACATCCAAAACATCGACATTGAAACCTTGAGATTTACAAAAACATCCAATATATCGACATTGAAACCATCATATTTACAAAAAAAGCCGCAATACATCGACAATGAAACCATGAGATTTACAAAAATATCCAATACATCGACATTGAAATTATTAAGTTTACGAAAGCATCCAATATATCGACATTGAAACCATCAGATTTACAAAAACATCCAATACATCGACATTGAAACCTTGAGATTTACAAAAACATCCAATACATCGACATTGAAATTATTAAGTTTACGAAAGCATCCAAAACATCGACATTGAAACCATCAAATTTACAAAAAAATCCGAGATTGAAATCATCAGATTTACAAAAACATCCAAAACATCGACATTGTAACTATCAGATTTACAAAGACATAGAAAATATCGACATTGAAACCATCAGATTTACAAAAACATCCAAAACATCCAAAACATCGAGATTGAAATCGTCAGATTTACAAAAGCATCCAATACATAGACATTGTAACTATCAGATTTACAAAGACATAGAAAATATCGACACTGAAACCATCAAATTTAGAAAAACATCCAATACATAGACATTGAATCCATAAGATTTACAAAGATATATAATACATAGACATTGAAACCATCAGATTTACAAAGACATAGAAAATATCGACAATGAAACCATCAGCTGATTTCCGATACATGGAGACCGCACCTTACACTTCAATCGTGATATGTAGACAGCCCTAGGTGGTTGTAAATGATCTTTTTCGAGCCACCAATAAAGCATATTTATTCAATACAAATGAAGTAGGACTTTTATTTGAAACGGGTGTAGCTTTAGAAATGTTGATTAACCAGCACATGATTAGTTAGTTTTTTTAACATAGCAAAATAATGAAGCATGGTTTTTGTGATTATCATTCATCAATTTTCAAAGACTAAAATGCAATAAAAATGGGGAAAACATGAAAGGATAATAACGACAGGGAAACAATTTAAAATAATTCAAAGAGGTCTTAAAGACTCTAGTTTGGTGATATGATTCTCCAACAGATTAAAAACAAACCTATTGGCGAAAAGTGTCCCTCTAATGACTTGGCTTGACTTTGTTTATAGCGAAGCTGAATTTACAAAACAGGTCACAAATACCTTTCCGTTCAAAATCTCTTTTAGGTATATTATTATGCCTAACAATAACAAATTCATTGACCAAAAATATCAGCTTTGAACAAAGTTGTACGATATGCGTGATGATTTAAATTTCTCAATTGTTCATTTCACATTTGTAAGTAGCAATTTTCCTGCCTCCAACTGACACATTTCGCAGTTGATTTATAGAGTTTGTTCCCAATATCAAGATTTTCGTGCAAGACGTCGAAGGCTTATCAAATCTAACAACACGTGCGATGAACATTACAGACAAACTGAACGGTAGTTATGAAGACTTCGTTTAAATTCCATTTACTTTTGCAATATGATGTTGGACTTGTTTGATAACTAACATCGTGGGTATCTTCGGTGACGTAGAAGATGATTTCCCTTCCGAGACACATTGTCTCATGCACCTCGTAAGTTGATATGGTCTGCGTGCAAATCTAACTTTGTTTACATTTTTCCCGATTTTCATTGAATTTGAATTTGGACAAATGACGAAGGAATCTTGGAAATACTATTTAAAATATTGCGCAAATTAATTGCTTTTGGTTAACCATTCCATTGCTACAGAAATATCAGAAAGATAACAAACCCTTGAGTGGTTCCAATCGTTCTACATACTACTCGACTGTTTTCGTTTGTCCATCTGTCTGCACAAACCACGTGATCAATACCGTTGGTATTGATTAACAAAATGCCATCGTGCGAATTTGGTCCGGAATTAGACATCAATGTCACATGCATCAAGTCTACAAGACAGAGTAAATTATGAGACATAGTAGTGACAAGTACAAACTCTTTGACGACAGACACACATCTGTTAAAAAAAGTCTGTCATTTTCTAAACCAGCAACATTTACAAACTAGTTCATCAAAGTTATATGTTCAAGTCTCCATAAAGAAATAAAAGAGTCTTATACAGCCTCTGTCTTGCTTACATGGTTTACTTTGCTAAAATTGATCAATTTAGATTGAAGGAAAAGTATTTATTATAATCAGCACAAAATTGAATTATTATAACAGAAGTAGGATTTCAAACAATTGCTGTCTTTCTACTAATGCCCCCCTCCTGTCCAGGTGGTCGAAACACTGTCCATACAAAATTAACTCCCTTCACCTATGCATGTTTCGGGCAAAATGATAACAAATAGTCCAATCATTTCCACATATGAAGAATGATTTAAAAGAAGTTGTCCTTTTGGGCCCCATCCGCCCCATGGGACTGAGACTCTTCGTTTATACAAAACTGATCTCCCTTCATCCAGGTATGCTACAAGGCAAATTAGGTAGACTCAATCATTCCTACAGGTGGAGTAGGATTTTAAATAGTCTGCTCCATTTGCCTTATTGGGCCCCGTCCCACTAGTCTCTGGGGATCTAAACCGGCCATTTACACAAAACTGATTCCCAAACACAAGTCATAGTATTTATAGCCCCCGCTTTCCAAACATATTGTAAGTAAATTTTAACGAAATATCACATATATGTTAAACTATTTGAATGAAGAGTAATATATCGATTATAGCAGTACTTGTAGTTGGTTGTGTTGAAGTGGGAGTCATACTGAAAGTCGGAGTTGTTGTGGATGGAGTTGTTGTGGCAGTTGTCGTGGTAGTTGTCTCAGTGGTGGACGGAACTGTGGTAGTCGATGAAGTAGTTATTGATTTCTTAGTGGTTGTAGTACTTGAAGTGGTGGTTGGCGATAGAGTGGTTGTCTGAGCAGTTGTTTTAGTGGTTGTCGGAGTTGAAGCTGCAGTGCCAAATAGAATGCATTCACAATGTTCTATTTAATCAGAAGAAAAAAGACGTGTCATATCTAATCTCTTTGGCAACAACTTTGTTTTACACCCTTTTAAAATTTTGATGTCGTTAAGCCATACGTTATCTTTTTGCCATGCTATGCCAAATCTGCAATGAAATAGCTTACATACAATGTACTAAAGTGTTTAACGTTATATTCTCATAGCCATTACCATGAGTTAAACCCCATATGCACACAAAAAACCAACTTGAAATCAATTATAAAAGAAATGAACGAAATGGGAAGGTGGTTAAAATATAAGTAAATGTGCTTATTTCTAGCAATAATAAAGCAATTTTTCAGTCATTGAGTGGCATTACATTGTTGTTGATGATTAAATCAGAATACACGTATTATCTACATTAAACAATACGCAAAAAAAATTGTCTCAATACCTAGATAATTATACATCCCGTTTGTCGTTTCCTTCCTCTCCAGGCTGACATTATCTGATAATTATATCTATATCGAGGACATGACGTTACTGGATACTGATATACGAAAGTTAGCAGCAATATATATATTATATATGAAGGGTTTTGAAGTGTATAACGTCCGATTTCGATTGCATTTCTGTGTGATTAAAGCAATGGGCTGTATATATTGTTTAATGTATAATCAATGTTTTGTGCAGTTACTACTATTAGTTACATTAAAGTTCTATAATATTCATAACATGCATTGCAAGATGACGGAATCTACTGGCCTTCCGGTAACTCATTTGGAAAACCCATTGGACACTTATGTTGGACTATGTGCAAACGTTTTGGTAATTTTGTATGGACATCACCTTTCAGTGGCCAATATTTTACTATGTTGCCTATATATCATAATCATGTTTATCTACACCTGCCCTATTTCCTCTAATACCGAAATATGTGTCAAATACTTACCTAGATTTTTCAATTTATTCATTATGTTTTTATCAATGCTGACCTGAGGGTGAACACGTAACGTGTATGATGTGATCATTAAGGCAGGTTGTATGTCTGTATCGAGGACAGATGGATAAGTCAACTTCCTGTCCACTACATATGATTTGGGCATTCAACACGGGTACTCCAAAGTCCTGGACTTCCCTATGTGTCGCCACGTACCTGTATGAGACAGTGACACAGTTATTTATCATACAGTTGACAGAGTGTTCGTAGGTATTAAAAGGTCTGTAAGTGGAGACTTCAAAACCTGATGTTGTCTTGATAAGATCATTTGAAATTTCTGCATGTATTAGTTATTCTAAAGCTCGACTCTTTATCTTCCGTGACACCAGGTCTTATTCTCCTGATACTTAATCAGAAGCCTTCTCGTAAATATTTCTTTTTATCCTATTTTGCCCTATTTTTGTATTGTTTTAGTCTGGATGTTGATTTTTTTTACATGATGATATTTTCTTGATCATTTTTACACGGTTACAATGATAAGTCACACAATATCATCAACTTCAGAATTGAAGTCGGTTAACAGTATCATATATTTTAGAAAAATGCTATGCAGTTTTCATTGTCTCCTGGTAAATCTGTTATCTCTGACCAAGGATTGTAATCTCATGTGACAGGGATGTGAAGCAATCACAGATACACAAACGAACATCGGCAATAAGTATATATTTGCCATTGTGTTTGTATCGGTAACCTAAGGACTTCTGATTAAAGTGAGTTTAGAATGTGGCCTAGCTCTCCAGATCTCTATTTACAGCCACAGGCACACCATAACCACCACAGACACCACCACAGGCACCACACACACACCACACACACACAACCACCACCACCACACACACACACAAATAAACAACCACACCACACACACACACACACACCACCACCACCACCACCACAACCACCACACACCACACACACAAACACACCCTTACACACCACCACACACACACACATTGAAACCATCAGATTCACAAAAACATCCAATATATCGATATTGAAACCATCAGATTTACAAAAACATCCAATATATCGGCACTGAAACCATCGGATTTACAAAAACATCCAATACATCGACATTGAAATCATCGGATTTACAAAAACATCCAATAGATCGATATTGAAACCATCAGATTTACAAAAACATCCAATACATCGGCACTGAAACCATCGGATTTACAAAAACATCCAATACATCGACATTGAAATCATCGGATTTACAAAAACATCCAATACATCGACATTGAAATCATCAGATTTACAAAAACATCCAATACATCGGCACTGAAACCATCGGATTTACAAAAACATCCAATACATCGACATTGAAATCATCGGATTTACAAAAACATCTAATACATCGACATTGAAACCATCAGATTTACAAAGACGTAGAAAAGATGGCCATTAAGACCATTATATTTACAAAAACATCCAAAACATCGACATTGAAACCATGAGATTTAAAAAACATCCAATATATCGACATTGAAACCATCAGATTTACAAATAACATCCAATACATCGACATTGAAACCATCAGATTTACAAATAACATCCAAAGCATCGACATTGAAACCGATCAGATTTACAAAAACATCCAATATATCGAGATTGATACCATCAGACTTACAAAAACATCCAAAACATCGAGATTAAAATCGTTAGATTTAAAAAACATCCAATTCATAGACATTGAAACCATTAAATTTACAAAAATCATCCATTAAATTGATATTGAAAACATCAGATTTACAAAAACATCCAATATATCGACATTGAAACCATCAGATTTACAAAAACATCCGATACATCGACGTTGAAACCATAAGATTTACAAAGATATATAATACATAGACATTGAAACCATCAGATTTACAAAAACATCCAAAAAATCGAGATTGAAATCATCAGAATTACAAAAACATCCAATATATCGACATTGAAACCATCAGATTTACAAAAACATCCAATATATCGAGATTGATACCATCATATTTACAAAAACATCCAATATATCGAGATTGATACCATCATATTTACAAAAACATCCAATACATAGACATTGTAACTATCAGATTTACAAAGATATATAATACATCAAATTGAAACCATCAGATTTACAAAGATATATAATACATAGACATTGAAACCATCAGATTTACAAAGATATATAATACATAGACATTGAAACCATCAGATTTAGAAAAACATCCAATACATAGACATTGAATCCATAAGATTTACAAAGATATATAATACATAGACATTGAAACCATCAGATTTACAAAGACATAGAAAATATCGACAATGAAACCATCAGCTGATTTCCGATACATGGAGACCGCACCTTACACTTCAATCGTGATATGTAGACAGCCCTAGGTGGTTGTAAATGATCTTTTTCGAGCCACCAATAAAGCATATTTATTCAATACAAATGAAGTAGGACTTTTATTTGAAACGGGTGTAGCTTTAGAAATGTTGATTAACCAGCACATGATTAGTTAGTTTTTTTAACATAGCAAAATAATGAAGCATGGTTTTTGTGATTATCATTCATCAATTTTCAAAGACTAAAATGCAATAAAAATGGGGAAAACATGAAAGGATAATAACGACAGGGAAACAATTTAAAATAATTCAAAGAGGTCTTAAAGACTCTAGTTTGGTGATATGATTCTCCAACAGATTAAAAACAAACCTATTGGCGAAAAGTGTCCCTCTAATGACTTGGCTTGACTTTGTTTATAGCGAAGCTGAATTTACAAAACAGGTCACAAATACCTTTCCGTTCAAAATCTCTTTTAGGTATATTATTATGCCTAACAATAACAAATTCATTGACCAAAAATATCAGCTTTGAACAAAGTTGTACGATATGCGTGATGATTTAAATTTCTCAATTGTTCATTTCACATTTGTAAGTAGCAATTTTCCTGCCTCCAACTGACACATTTCGCAGTTGATTTATAGAGTTTGTTCCCAATATCAAGATTTTCGTGCAAGACGTCGAAGGCTTATCAAATCTAACAACACGTGCGATGAACATTACAGACAAACTGAACGGTAGTTATGAAGACTTCGTTTAAATTCCATTTACTTTTGCAATATGATGTTGGACTTGTTTGATAACTAACATCGTGGGTATCTTCGGTGACGTAGAAGATGATTTCCCTTCCGAGACACATTGTCTCATGCACCTCGTAAGTTGATATGGTCTGCGTGCAAATCTAACTTTGTTTACATTTTTCCCGATTTTCATTGAATTTGAATTTGGACAAATGACGAAGGAATCTTGGAAATACTATTTAAAATATTGCGCAAATTAATTGCTTTTGGTTAACCATTCCATTGCTACAGAAATATCAGAAAGATAACAAACCCTTGAGTGGTTCCAATCGTTCTACATACTACTCGACTGTTTTCGTTTGTCCATCTGTCTGCACAAACCACGTGATCAATACCGTTGGTATTGATTAACAAAATGCCATCGTGCGAATTTGGTCCGGAATTAGACATCAATGTCACATGCATCAAGTCTACAAGACAGAGTAAATTATGAGACATAGTAGTGACAAGTACAAACTCTTTGACGACAGACACACATCTGTTAAAAAAAGTCTGTCATTTTCTAAACCAGCAACATTTACAAACTAGTTCATCAAAGTTATATGTTCAAGTCTCCATAAAGAAATAAAAGAGTCTTATACAGCCTCTGTCTTGCTTACATGGTTTACTTTGCTAAAATTGATCAATTTAGATTGAAGGAAAAGTATTTATTATAATCAGCACAAAATTGAATTATTATAACAGAAGTAGGATTTCAAACAATTGCTGTCTTTCTACTAATGCCCCCCTCCTGTCCAGGTGGTCGAAACACTGTCCATACAAAATTAACTCCCTTCACCTATGCATGTTTCGGGCAAAATGATAACAAATAGCCCAATCATTTCCACATATGAAGAATGATTTAAAAGAAGTTGTCCTTTTGGGCCCCATCCGCCCCATGGGACTGAGACTCTTCGTTTATACAAAACTGATCTCCCTTCATCCAGGTATGCTACAAGGCAAATTAGGTAGATTCAATCATTCCTACAGGTGGAGTAGGATTTTAAATAGTCTGCTCCATTTGCCTTATTGGGCCCCGTCCCACTAGCCTCAGGGGATCTAAACCGGCCATTTACACAAAACTGATTCCCAAACACAAGACTCAACATCCAAAGTCATGGAATTTATATCCCCCGCTTTCCAAACATATTGTAAGTATACATTTTAAAGGTTAGGAATAAACATGTCATAATGCTATATAGAATGATATATTCTCTTGAGCTATGGTGTATTGCTTTAAAGCCAAAGAAAGATGTAAAGGATTATAGAGAGTAGATGTTTTATTGGACATATCAAATATTAACCAATAAAGTGAGCTAATTGAAGAAAACTTGCATATAAGTAACTATATTGGTGCTAAGCAGATCAATGGTCATCAGCAGGTATAGCAGTCCACAAAATATCATGATTGGTAAGTCTATGCTGTTTAAGAAGGTCCTGGAAAGATGGAAAATTTTGATCCATATTGAAGTCACCAAAAAGAAGTTGTGAAGCGGGGAACTGAATAGTTCTATCAACATGGCCGAAAAATTCTGATATAGAACTTGCTGACGGTCGGTACGGGACTGCTATGGTGGTTGGAGGATTCAGTGAATGGATGCTGACAGCTAAAACCTGACAGAGATCATGTGAATGTGCAATTATAACACCAACAGAAAGAGAATCTGCAAAATAAAATACTAATCCATGCTTTGTTAGTTTGGAATAATGGCTGTATCCATCAATGTTGTTGTGTGTGTTTGAAAGATGAACATGCGTCTCTGACATACAGATAATTTTGAGAATTTGTAATTTTTCATTTCGTCTCATATCTTCTGCATGCTTATTAAGTGACCTGATGTTAATATGTCCAATGTGTGTACCTGCAGTCCTTTTCAGTGGAAGCACCCAGGAGAGACAGGATTCCATTTTCATGCGTGTCATTTCAGATGCTGCTTATTGGTGGATTTTTATGTCTGTTTCACAAAAAAAAAAAAAAAAAAAAATACTGAATTCCTTCCCTTGATGTTGCCCTACTGAGTATGGTATTTGCAAGGCCTTGAGGTGTTGGGAATCGTTTTGGCTTGGCAAAGTTTGCAACCATGAACTGGTAGGTGCTTCCCTGAGATTTGTGTGCTGTCAATCTATAAGCCAGAACTAAAGGAAACATACGCCTTTTTACAGGCACTGAGCAGTTTGATGCCAGCATAAACTTCCCAGCAATAGACTCCACTGCTACCGCATTCCTCAGATGGAGTGGCGAATCCTTTTTCTTTGCTTTCCCAATGAGATCATTTTCAAATTTTAAGTAAATTTTCCCACTTAATTGGTCATTTGGTGGTATGTTATAATCAACGACTGTGCCTATTACACTATTTACTAAATGATCCGCTTTATCATTTTTTTGTCAACATTAAACGAGCCCCTTTTGCAAATACAAGAGTAGAAGGTAGCCCTCCAGTCTTGTATATATTGTATTCCAGTACCGATACCTGCTGCATTATATGTTTGAAAATAATTGGAAAAGAAATATACCAGTTAAAAGATTGTTTTTCTTTATAAATATATGGATGATAACTCTGGTGCTAAGTTTAATAATAAACTGATAATATTTGTGGGACTTCAAGTTACATCTAAATCAGATTATATTTAGGAAAGTTAGAGCACAAAAAGTGACCGACCAATAAAAAACAAAGGATACCTCATTTGTATGCATAATTATTAACAGATGACACTGATAGTCAAACTCAGTCTTAATGACCCCAAGATGCATCTGCTGACCAAGTTTCACCAAATTGAATGATATTTCGGGAAGCTAGAACACAAACGAAAGTGTGACAGACGGACGGATGGACGGACGAACGGACGAACCCAAATTAATATCCCCCGTTTCGCTGAAAGCGGGGGATAATTATGTTAGCTGCTGACCGTCAAAGGCATATCCATGAATAGTTCAGACTCAATGTGTATTTGACGTTTTAGTTTCCTGTGTAGCCTGAAATCTTCGGTAGTTGCTAAGTAACACAGAAACTTACGAACAACAGACTGTGTCGTTTTTATTTCCGGTGTGTAATGTGTATGTGCCACTTGACCATGTCCACCACCTGTTTAAAATGAAAAAAAAAAAAAAAAAAAAATAATAATATCAAGATTAAAGAAGAGACTGAAATTTATTTCAGCACGCGGAGTAAGACTAGAGAAATTCATAATTAGCATGAAAGTCCGACTGCTTGCCATACGACATTCTACATTCGAATATGGATATCACGCATTTAGACCTAAAACATTCAAAACTCAGTATTTGTAATTTTACTATTTGTGCTTTTGAGAACTTAAACAGTTCCATTCGTACAGCAACATTCTGTGTTTTAGCCACAATGAATAAATGTAGGATCTTTTACTAGTTTTAATTAATATCTTATACTGTAAATTCTTCAGAATATGAAACGCATAACTTCTTTATTTGTCTGAAATCTCTGTTACTATCTGAGTGCATGTTGTAATTTGTTATCGCCCATATTCTACTGTTACACCACCGATTACCACTGTCAAAACAAATGAAAGAGTCATGTGTCTGTACAGTGTTTATTGATACCTAATTTGTACGGTAACGAACAGAAAAAATCAAAAGCATTTAAAATCTAAAGTTATAAATATCATGCATTTTATCACTAATTTCCACAGCCCTTTTTAGATAAAACCGAGGTAACAAATAGATGGAGTTAGAGGGATACTTTTACACTGGAAATTAGAGCATGGGTTTTGGTTTTAAGTTTAGAATTCATGATATATTCTCCAGTATATGCATAAAGACCAAGCATATTATCCCCATTCTAAAATAATCTGAGTTTAAAAGGGTTGTGATTATCGCAATATCAATGAAATTCAACAAAAACAAAGCCCTGCAGAAATTTGTTCGAAAAGGAATGATTTCCCACACTAAGCCAATCTAAACGCTCCTTTCATCCACTGACTTAGAAGCTCCACCTACTTTTCAATGTAGTTGCCGATAGCTTCAGGCCCAGATGAAAGCGCGCGAGGGTCATATTGTGGGAGGAAACCGGATTACCCGGGGAAAACCCACCTGGTCTGGCAGGTGACCCTTACCTTTTCACGTCCGTTCCAGGAATCGAACACTGGACGGCGAGTGCGTTACCACTGCGCAACCCGACCACCCGGTTGATTCTCCTCATACACGTTATCATGTTTAACATTCTCTTAAATAACTTTTTGTTTTTCTATCATAGTTCTATTATCTTTTGGATAATTTGGAAGTAAAATTCCTCTTCTCTAGGCAAAAAACTAACTTCTTTTCTGCAATAAATCAACAAGACCGTTTTAAAGACTGATGTAAATGTATTGACATGTTGTTGACATGTGTGGCATCCATGTTGACTATTCCGGAAGCGGAAGTTGCTGGGGAGCAGTTATTAATTAGTTCATGTCATTACATCTCCCTTTTTTCAAGTTAAAATCAATGTTATTAACAATATCAAACATGGCCTCTAATCAGTCAATAGATGTACAATAACTAACATTGTTGAACTACTTTAACAATAATTCAACGTAAACTGACTAGTAAAGCACACAATATGACAAAATGATGAATATTTTTAAATGATTCAAATTCCAATAATCCTATGTGTAGGTCTTGGTTGGTTTGTTTACATTTGCGAATAATGGATTTCATTGTTTGATCTGCTCGTTCAGCCATACCATTGGATTTCGGGTATCCTGGACAACTGGTCACGTGTTGAAAATTCCATTCCACCGAGAATTTATAAAACTCCTTGCTACTATAACAAGGGTCATTATCACTCAATACCTGTTCAGGTATGCCATACCTTGCAAAGGTAGTTTTCATGACTTGGATCACAGCTGTTGAGGTTTGATTGGTTAGTCGTACTACCTAAGGGTAGCCAGAAAAGGCGTCTACGACAACAATATACGGGTTTCTATCCAGTTCAAACATGGTCTTGACGGTATTGGGTGTGACAACAATGGTTCAGCTATCTATTGTTTCTGGTAAACTTGACATGGTTCACAAGTTTTCACCAAATTCTCTATGTCCTCAGTCATGCCAGGCCAAAATAACACTTCGCGTGCTTTTGTTTACATTTGCTCATACCTAAATGTCCAGCATGTATTTCCTGTAGCATCTCTTTCCTGAGATTCTTAGGAATTACAACTCTGGATCCCTTGAATACTAAAAGTTCATCTCGATAGTTCCAAAATGGTCGTATCTCATAGGAACAATCACTTCGACTCTCTGGCCATTCATACATTATGGTGATTTTTAAGCTAATGAGCGACTTGAATATTTGCCATGACTCCGTCAACATATACCTCAACGTCATTCTCGGTTGTTGACTGCTCCGTACACATACTGGTGAAAGCTTTCACGCGCAAATGTAACAGCCAATGCCTCACGCTCAATCGATGCGTATTGGGATTCTGTGTCCGTCAATGCCCGTGATGCATACGCGACAGGGAGCCACTCGGTGTTGTGCTTTTGTAGAAGTACTGCGCCAAGTCCTTTCTGACTTGCGTCTGCAGAAATCCTGATCAACTTTGTGGGGTCGTAGTTCAGAAGTACTGGACTGTTTGAGACAATTTCTTTCTAATTCTCAAACGAATTCTGATGGGCATCTGTCCATTCTTAACAGTTTTTCTTATCTAGCAAGCTTTTCAATAGTGCAGTATGCGTCGACAAGTCTTTTATGAAGCGCGCCAATATCTAGAAAATGTTGAATATCGTTTTTGCACTTGGGTTTCCATATTTTGAATAGCTTTGACCTTTCCGAGGTCAGGCTTCACACCATTCTTTGTGACTCGATCTCCGAGAAATTTCACATTTCTCACGCTGAAGTTTCAACCCAGCTTCTCTCGTTTTATCTAACACGTTTCGCAAGTTTCTGTTGTGGTCTGCCTGATCAACCCCCCCCCCCCCCTACCCACATACTTTGATATCGTCCATGGATGTATCTACGCCCCTCATGTTCTCATACAAAAGGTGTATAGTTCTATGTAAGATCTCTGGTCCACAGGAGATTCCGAATGTTAAACGAAGAAACCGACCAAACGGGGTATTTAAGGCACATAATTTAGAACTTTTCTTCCTCAAGTTGTAGTTGCCAAAATCCGCTTGAAGCGTCAAGCTTTGAAAAGACTGTTGCACCAGCAAACTTCGCCATAATTTCTTCACGAGTGGGTAAATTGAAATGTTCTCTACATATTGCCCTATTCAAGTTTCTGGGGTCCACCCAAACGCGCAATTTTCCATTGCTTTTGTGTACAATAACCATGGAATTTACAAATTCAGTTGGCTCCTCAATAGGTTTAATAACATAAAGTTCCTATGGTTCATCTGCCGGTATTTTGGTGTTTTGATATGGTTTTATCTGTCGGTATTTTGGTGTTTTAATATGGTTTTTATATCGGTATTTTGATATGGTTGATATGTCGTTGTTTTGATGTTTTGATATCATTGATATGTCTGTATTTTGGTGTTTTGATATGGTTGATATGGTTTATCTGCCGGTATTTTGGTGTTTTGATATGGTTTATCTGTCGGTATTTTTATATGGATTATCTGTCGGTATTTTGGTGTTTTTATTTCGTTTATGTGTTGGTGTTTTGATATGGTTTATCTTTCGGTATTTTGGAGTTTTGATATGGTTTATCTGTCTGTATTTTGGGGTTTTGATATGGTTCATCTGCCGGTATTTTGGTGTTTTGATATGGTTTAGGTGTCGGTATTTTGATATGGTTTATCTGTCGGTATTTTGGTGTTTTGATATGGTTTATCTGTCGGTATTTTGGTGTTTTGATATGGTTTATCTGCTGGTATTTTGGTGTTTTGATATGGTTTAGGTGTCGGTATTTTGATATGGTTTATCTGTCGGTATTTTGGTGTTTTTATATGGTTATCTGTCGGTGTTTTTATATGGATTATTTGTCGGTATTTTGGTTTTTTTATTTGGTTTACGTGTCGGTGTTTTGATATGGTTTATCTGTCGGTATTTTGGTGTTTTGATATGGTTTATCTGTCTGTATTTTGATGTTTTGATATGGTTTATCTGTCGGTATTTTGGAGTTTTGGTATGGTTTATCTGTCGGTGTTTTGGTGTTTTTATATGGTTATCTGTCCGTGTTTTTATATGGTATATCTGTCGGTGTTTTGATATGGTTTATCTGGCGGTATTTTGGAGTTTTGGTATGGTTTATCTGTCGATGTTTTGATATGGTTTATATGTCGGTATTTTGGTGTTTTGATATGGTATATCTGTCGGTGTTTTGATATGGATTATCTGTCGGTATTTTGGTGTTTCAAAGTGGTTTATCTGCCGGTATTTTGATATTGTTGATATGTCGGTATTTTGATATGGTTTATATGTCGGTATTTTGATATGGTTTATATGTCGGTATTTTGGTGTTTTGATATGGTTTATCTGTCGGTATTTTGGTGTTTTGATATGGTTTATCTGTCGGTATTTTGATATGGTTTATCTGTCGGTGTATTGATATGGTTTAGTTGTTGGTATTTTGATGTTTTGATATGGTTTATATGTCGGTATTTTGGTGTTTTGATATGGTATATCTGTCGGTGTTTTGATATGGATTATCTGTCGGTATTTTGGTGTTTTTATTTCGTTTATGTGTTGGTGTTTTGATATGGTTTATCTGTCGGTATTTTGGAGTTTTGATATGGTTTATCTGTCTGTATTTTGGGGTTTTGATATGGTTCATCTGTCGGTGTTTTGATATGGATTATTTGTCGGTATTTTGGTGTTTATCTGCCGGTATTTTGGTGTTTTGATATGGTTTAGGTGTCGGTATTTTGATATGGTTTATCTGTCGGTATTTTGGTGTTTTGATATGGTTTATCTGTCGGTATTTTGGTGTTTTGATATGGTTTATCTGTCGGTATTTTGGTGTTTTGATATGGTTTATATGTCGGTATTTTGATATTGGTTATCTGTCGTTGTTATGATATGGTTTATCTGTCGGTATTTTGGTGTTTTGATATGGTTTATTTGTCGTTATTTTGATATGGTTTATATGTCGGTATTTTGGTGTTTTTTATGGTTTATCTGTCGGTATTTTGGTGTTTTGATATGGTTTATATGTCGGTATTTTGGTGTTTAGATATGGTTAATCTGTCGGTGTTTTGATATGGTTTATATGTCGGTATTTTGGTGTTTTGATATGGTTTATCTGTCGGTGTTTTGATATGGTTGTTTTGATATGGTTTGATATGTCGGTATTTTGATATGGTTTATATGTCGGTATATTGATATGGTTTATATGTCGGTATTTTGGTGTTTTGATATGGTTTATATGTTGGTATTTTGGTGTTTTGATATGGTTTATATGTCGGTATTTTGATATGGTTTTTCTGTCGTTGTTATGATATTGTTTATCTGTCGGTATTTTGGTGTTTTGATATGGTTTATCTGTCGGTATTTTGGTGTTTGATATGGTTTATCTGTCGGCATTTTGGTGTTTTGATATGGTTTATATGTATTTTGTATTTTGGTGTTTTGATATGGTTTATTTGTCGTTTATTCTGTCGATGTTTTTATATGGTTTATCTGTCGGTGTTTTGATATGGTTTATCTGTCGGTATTTTGGTGTTTTTATATGGTTTATCTGTCGGTATTTTTATATGGTTTATCTGTCGGTATTTTGGTGTTTTGATATGGTTTATCTGTCGGTATTTTGGTGTTTTGATATGGTTTATCTGTCGGTGTTTTGGTGTTTTTATATGGTTATCTGTCCGTGTTTTTATATGGTATATCTGTCGGTGTTTTGATATGGTTTATCTGTCGGTATTTTGGTTTTTTTATTTGGTTTATGTGTCGGTGTTTTGATATGGTTTATCTGTCGGTATTTTGGTGTTTTGATATGGTTTATCTGTCTGTATTTTGATATGGTTTATATGTCGGTATTTTGGTGATTTGTTTATGTTTTGATATGGTTTATATGTCGGTATTTTGGTGTTTTGATATGGTATATCTGTCGGTGTTTTGATATGGATTATCTGTCGGTATTTTGATGTTTTGATATGGTTCATCTGCCGGTATTTTGGTGTTTTGATATGGTTTATCTGTCGGTATTTTGGTGTTTTGATATGGTTTATATGGCGGTATTTTGGTGTTTTGATATGGTTTATATGGCGGTATTTTGAAATGGTTTATATGGCGGTGTTTTGATATGGTTTATCTGCCGGTATTTTGATATTGTTGATATGTCGGTGTTTTGATATGGTTTATATGTCGGTATTTTGGTGTTTTGATATGGTTTATCTGTCGGTATTTTGGTGTTTTGATACGGTTTATATGTCGGTATTTTGGTGTTTAGATATGGTTTATATGTCGGTTTTGGTTTTTGATTTTGATATGGTTTATATATGGTGTATTTTATTTGGTGTTTTGATATGGTTTATATGTTGGTATTTTGGTGTTTTGATATGGTTTATATGTCGGTATTTTGATATGGTTTTTCTGTCGGTATTTTGGTGTTTTGATATGGTTTATCTGTCGGTATTTTGGTGTTTTGATATGGTTTATCTGTCGGTATTTTGGTGTTTTTATATGGTTATCTGTCGGTGTTTTTATATGGTATATCTGTCGTTGTTATGATATTGTTTATCTGTCGGTATTTTGGTGTTTTTATATTGTTATTTGTCGGTGTTTTTATATGGTATTTCTGTCGGTATTTTGGTGTTTTGATATGGTTTATCTGTCGGTATTTTTGATATGATTGATCTCTCGGTATTTTGGTGTTTTGATATGGTTTATCTGTCGATATTTTGGTGTTTTGATATGGTTTATCTGTCGGTATTTTGGTGTTTTGATATGGTTTATCTGTCTGTATTTTGATGTTTTGATATGGTTCATCTGCCGGTATTTTGGTGTTTTGATATGGTTTATATGTTGGTATTTTGGTGTTTTGATATGGTTTATATGTCGGTATTTTGATATGGTTTTTCTGTCGGTATTTTGGTTTTATTTTGGTGTTTTGATATGGTTTATCTGTCGGTATTTTGGTGTTTTGATATGGTTTATCTGCTGGTATTTTGGTGTTTTGATATGGTTGATATGGCGGTATTTTAATATGGTTGATATGTCGGTATTTTGATATGGTTTATATGTCGGTATATTGATATGGTTTATATGTCGGTGTTTTGGTGATTTGATATGCTTTATATGTCGGTGTTTTGATGTTTTGATATGGTTTATATGTCGGTGTTTTGGTGTTTTGATATGATTGATGAGGCGGTATTTTGATATGTCGGCATTTTGGTGTTTTCATATGGTTTATCTGTCGGTATTTTGGTGTTTTGATATGGTTTATATGTCGGTATTTTGATATGGTTTATATGTCGGTATTTTGATATGGTTTATCTGTCGGTATTTTGGTGTTTTGATATGGTTTATCTGTCGGTATTTTGGTGTTTTGATATGGTTGATCTGTCGGTATTTTGGTGTTTTGATATGGTTTATCTGTCGGTGTTTTGATATGGTTTATCTGTCGGTATTTTGGAGTTTTGATATGGTTTATCTGTCGGTATTTTGGAGTTTTGATATGGTTTATC